CTATTTGACCACCAGACCATTTGTAGAAAATGATTATCTTGTAACATCACAAAACCTATTAAGACAGGCTGTCCTCTAAATCTACCAATACTAGGATATATCTGGCGACTTTCCAGAGTCAACTTAACCACTTGACCATTTCAAGAAAATGTACATTCAATACATCTCTTCCATGCCAGTGTTGTGATTGTCTTGAAGTTATCCAGCATCACTTCCTGGTTATAAGAACAAACTGGAACAGGTTTGTTTCTGTGTTATGCAAGCCATGGTGTCCCAATTGTTCAGATTAGCTCATGATCTCAATCACTGAATTGTCTGGTCCAGACTCACATATTTACTCCCATCATAGAGCTGGAAATATTACTGAGTGCACAAAACAAACAACCATAAGGACAAACAAACAACCATACAAACAAACAACCATACAGACAAACAACCATACAGACAAACAAACAACCATGCACATAACAAACAACCATACAGACAACAAACAACCATACAGACAACAAACAACCATACAGACAAACAAACAACCATACAGACAAACAACCATACAGATAAACAAACAACCATACATATGAACAAACAACCATACACACAAACAGCCATACACACAAACAAACATTCATACAGACAAACAAAAAAAACATACAGACAAACTAACAACCATACAGACAAACAAACAACCATACTGATAAACACTGACTGACTGACTGAGTTTAGTTTTACGCCGCTTTTAGCAATAGTCCAGCAATATCAGGGCGGGGGACACCAGAAATTTGCTTAACACATTGTGCCCATGTTGGGAATCGAACCCGGGTCTTCGGCGTGACGACCCAACGCTTTAACCACTAGGCTACCCCACCGCCCGCACAGATAAACAACCATACAGAGAAACAAACCTCACAGACAAACAAACAGCCATACAGATAAACAGCCATACAGACAAACAAACAACCATACAGACAAACAAACAACCATACAGACAAACAAACAACCATACAGACAAACGACCATTCAGATAAACAAACAACCATACAGACAAACAAACAACCATGCAGATACACAAACAGCCATACAGGCAAACAACCATTCAGATAAACAAACAACCATACAGACAAACAAACAACCTTACAGAGAAACAAACAACCATACAGAGAAACAAACCTCACAGACAAACAAACAACCATACAGATAAACAGCCATACAGACAAACAAACAACCATACAGACAAACAAACAACCATACAGACAAACGACCATTCAGACAAACAAACAACCATACAGATACACAAACAGCCATACAGGCAAACAACCATTCAGATAAACAAACAACCATACAGACAAACAAACAACCTTACAGAGAAACAAACAACCATACAGAGAAACAAACCTCACAGACAAACAAACAACCATACAGATAAACAGCCATACAGACAAACAAACAACCATACAGACAAACAAACAACCATACAGATAAATAAACAACCATACAGAGAAACAAACCATACGGACAAACGACCATACAGACAAACAACCATACAGACAAACGACCATTCAGATAAACAAACAACCATACAGACAAACAACCATACAGACAAACGACCATTCAGATAAACAAACAACCATATAGACAAACAAACAACCATACAGATAAATAAACAACCATACAGACAAACAAACAACCACACAGATACACAACCATACAGATAAACAAACAACCATACAGACAAACAACCATACAGACAAGCACCCATACAGACAAACAACCATACAGACAAACAAACAACCATACAGACAAACAAACAACCATACAGACAAACAACCATAGAGATAAACAAACAACCATACAATGATGTTGAGATCAATTTTAGCTGCAGATATGTGTGGTTTGATCCTGATTCCAAGTGGTGGAACCAGGCTTGGCAGTTTAGGAAATAAGTTTTCATAGAGCGGGTTGAAAACACAATTGTATGCTTGATTGGACTCATTTGAACGTAATTTAGTGATATACTGCAGTGAGAGTTTAATGCGGCGTTGTTCAAGGGAAGGTTCATTGGCCTCCGCATATAGACTGTCTACCGGAGAGGTCCTAAAAGCTCCCAGGCAGAGCCTCAGTCCTTGGTGGAGGATAGAGTCTAATTTTTCTAAATTGCTTTTGCAGGCTCCACCGTAGACAATGGAGCCATAATGTAGTTTACTGCGAACTAATGATCTGTACAAGGGAAGGAGGGTAGTCTGATCCCCTCCCCACTCTGTATTTGAGACTACTTTTAGCAAGTCTAGAGCTTTCAAGCACTTTGTTTTCAAATATTTTATGTGTGGTAAGAATGTCAGGTGGCGGTCGAATATGAGTCCAAGGAATTTGGCCTCTTCTACTACCTTGATGGGAGTACCATCTAAAGTTAGGTCTGGATCCTTGTGTGGTTTGTATTTACGACAAAAGTGAATACAATTTGTTTTGGATTTTGAAAACTTAAAACCATTTTCATTGGCCCATTTTTGGATTTTGTTAAGGCAGAGTTGTAGCTGCCTTTATATTGCGACATGAAATATTGAAGTCATCCACGAAAAGGGACCCGTCAACGCAACTGTTCAGAACGTTAGTGAGGCTGTTAATTTTGATGCTAAAAAGTGTGACAGACAGGATGCTGCCTTGGGGGACGCCCTGATCTTGGTGGAAATAGTCAGACAGTGTGGAACCCACCCGAACTTGAAATTGTCTGTTAAAAAACTGAGATATGAATTGAGGTAGTCTACCCCTCAATCCAAACTCGTGTAAATCTTTTAGGATACCATGTTTCCACGTTGTATCATATGCTTTTTCTAAGTCGAAAAAGATAGATACTGTATGTTGTTTGTTGACAATGGAGTTGTTGATGAATGATTCGAGACGCACCATATGGTCAATGGTATTTCGGTATTTTCGGAAAGCACATTGGAGGTCACTGAGGAGGCTATTGGTCTCCAAGTACCAGATTAATCGATTGTTGACCATGCGCTCCATGGTTTTGCAAACGCAGCTAGTTAGTGATATAGGACGGTAGCTTGAGGGATCAGTATGATCGCGGCCGGGTTTTGGTATAGGGATGATAATGGCATTGTGCCACGAAGGGGGGAAGTGTCCGGATGTCCAGATGTCATCAAATATATTTAGGAGTGTTTCCAAGCCTGTGTCAGGGAGGTGTTTCAGAAGCTGATAATGGATTTCATCAGCTCCTGCAGCAGTGTCGTGAGCCTGTCCTAGGGCAGTACGTAATCCATGGAGGGACAACGTTTCGTTGTAATTCTCCCCATTATCAGAGTTAAAATTGACTGGTTTCTTTTCTTGTTGGGTTTGGTATTTCTGGAACTGAGGGTTATAATTTGATGAGGAGGAGTGGTTTGCCAAAGTTTCGCCGAGTTTGTTTGCAATTTCTGATTTATTTGTCACCATCTTTCAGGTGGTGAACTCCTGATTTTGACCCTTTGCCCTTAATCTTTTGGATCATGTCCCACACCTTGGACATGGGTGTGCGGGAGTTGATTTTGGACACATATTTCCTCCATGACCGGCGTTTAGTTTGCTTGAAGGGACGTTTTGCCCTGGCATTTGTCATTTTAACAGCATTCAGGTTGTGCACTGTAGGATGTTGTCGAAAATATTTTTCTGCCTTCTTCCTATTTTTCCTAGCTTGTTTGCAGTTTGTATCAAACCGTGGTTTGCGTATGTGCGGGTTTGCAGAGGACTTAGGAATAGTTTTGTCTCCGATGGCATTTAGGACGTCTGAAAATAGTTCCATGAGATCAGGAACATTCCTGAAGTTGTCCGGCTTAAGTTTTTCTGAACATAGGGTTTGGAATAAAGGCCAGTTGGGGTTGATAGGAGTAAGAATTGTTGGGAAGTGGTCGCTTCCACAAAGGTCGTCATGGACCGACCATTCAAACTCATTTAAAAGATTAGAATCTGTAAGTGATAGATCGAGAGCAGAGTATGATCCAGGTATGGAGGTAGGTGTTTGATCCATCGTTGAAGATGCATACATCATTATTGGAGAGAAACTCTTCAAGGACCTTTCCCTTACTATTTGTATCAGTACTCCCCCATAGGGGGTTATAGCCGTTGAAGTCGCCCATGATTATGCAGGGCTTTGGGAGTTGATCGTATAAGTTCTGAAGATCTGATAGGCGGACAGTTGAGGTGGGAGGGAGATAGAGGGAACATAGTGTAAACCCTATGTTCAGAGTTATGCGGACAGCAAAAGTTTGTAGGTTGGTGTTAAGTGGAACAGGGCTATGGAGGATGCCCTGCCTCACCAGGATAGAAGTGCCTCCTGTAGCTTTTACACCGGGAAGAGAAAAGGAGTGGTAGGAACTGTACCGACGGATGTCAAATTTATCAGTCCTTTTTAGGTAGGTTTCTCGGAGACAAAACGCGGATGGTTTGAAGTCTTGAATCAATAACTGTAATTCATTATAATTATTCTTAATTCCTCTGCAATTCCATTGGATCATGTTTCGTGGATTCATGGTGCTTCCACTGGTGACATGTCACGTGAACGTGAGAAAGCGTTTGATGAACTCTTATTGGTGTCTGGTGGAGATGGAGTTACCTCCATATCCAGAAGGCCAAAGGAGTTATGGACCTCGATGGGGACCTCTGAGGGAGAGGTGGCCTTTGGTTTTGTGTTTGGCGGTTGTTCAAGTTGCTTTAGTCTCTCTAGCCTCTTTTTTCCCCTTTTTCTGCGCGCAGTTTCTGTTTCTGGTTTTGGCATTTGTTCTGGTGTTTGTGATTCAGAGGTTTTGACTTTTGGCGTTGGAGATGGAGTGGCTGAGATGGGCTCAGTTGTGTTGAATTGAATAGGCTGAGAAGACATGATCCATGTCAGGTCCCTCTGACAATACGGTGTTGGTTATCATAGAGATGAATTAACATGATGTCCAGATTGATCCTTGACATTCTTAAGTTTCTTTAGGAAAGTCCGTCGACTGCCCACCTTTTTTCCAGATCTTTCTCATTCATTAATTTCCTGACATATTCCTCAGGTATTCCACAATGTCATAGCTTTGCCCTCTCTGAGCCAGAGTAAGGATGCATTCTCTTGTATCTGAGAGCAGGGAAAGATCTGCCTTGTGGTCCACCAGTAGCTGGAAGACATCCCCATGTCCACACACAGCCGCCATCATCACCGGTGTCCAGTGATACCGACCTCGGACATTGTTGTCATAGGACGGGAGCAGGCACTCCACACATTTCCTGTTGCCTCCTCGACAGGCCAGATGAAGCAGACTGTCTCCATACTGGTCTGTCTGAACCAACTCAGGACTATTGTCATGGCAAACTTTCAACATTTCAAAAGATCCTGTCACTGAGGATCTCATCAGCATAGTCCAAGAAGTGTGCTTCTTCACATATTGACCATACTCCTTCAAGGGCGAGAGTGAACAAATCATCTCCAGTCTCATCAACCAGTGTCAGATGTCTGAGGTGGTCAAACACTGCAGACTTTCCAAAGACAGCTGCTACCATTGCAGGCGTCCACCCACGTACATCTCTGTCATTAATAATACACCATGGACACACATGTTTCACCATACCAAGGTGTCCACCTATACAAGCAACGTGTAACAGATTATTCTCCGTATTGTCCACTATCTTGACGTCAGCGTCTCGGGCCACAAGGAAGTCAACTACAGAAATGTGGCCTCCTCTAGCTGCCTCCAGGAGCGGTTTGCGACCGTGAAAACCTCTTGTGTCAATGTCAAAATCGCCTATGACATCTTCAACATCAGCATGTTACCACCTCTACATGCTGTGTGAAGTGTTGTGTGATTATCATCACCTACACAAACACGGTTACCTCCACGTTTCAGAAGGAGTTCCCAAATATTGAATATTGTGTTTTCCACGGAAAGCTGCGTTCATCACTGTTGTCCAACCGAGTGCTCTAAGACACTTAATGTCAAACAGTGGAAGCAGATCTTCTACAATGGGACTATTTCCACCTTGACATGCCAGATGAAGGATGGTGTCATCGCTGTCACTTGTTATTGTGAGATCAGCTCCCTTTGACACGAGCAGGTCGACAACATCCTTCTTCCCATACAGAGCTGCTATCATCGATGATGTAAATCCCACCTTTCCACGACAATTAATGTCAAACAATGGAAGTAAATCTTCTACAATGGGACTATATCCACCTCGACATGCCAGATGAAGGATGGTGTCATTGTTGTCATCTCTTATTGTGATACCAGCTCTCTTTGACACGAGTAGGTCGAAAACCTCCTTCTTCCCAAGCAAAGCTGCAATCATTACTGATGTTAAACCGTTTTGTCCCCGACAATGGATTGGTTGGTTGGTTGGTTGGTTTTAAAGTTTTAGGGCGACGTGGGCCAATAAGAGGCCTATTGTGCCCAACACATTGACTTGATTTAATAAACAATCATACGTAATTTCATTGCCAAAAGGAATCGTTTAGCTAAGACAAAAGAAACGACAACACTAGTAATTTGGATAGATGTATACGTATGTCCAAAAACCTCTGCTTTGTGTTACGGATTAAAAACCTTAAGTAATCACTTCCATTCTGAAACATGAAATACTCATTCAGTAAAAAAGCAGTAGGTTCAGATGACAGAGTGTTAAAATGATTTAAAACAACAGAACTAAATCTGTCTGAGCCATTCGAGAGCCTGTCTAGATTACATCATATTTTCCAGATGCCGAGACAAAATCTAAAACTGCCCGTTGCATAGACCCATACATGATATCGGGGCCCAAAACTGTTTCTAATGAAAATACATCATCAACCTCAAGTACGGCACTTCTGAGATTATGTCTTATGTTGTTATGCCCAGGGCATGTAATTAGATAATGTTCGATGTTTTCAGGCGTCTCCAAATTGTAATGGCCACATTTAGAAGAGACCGTCTTATCTATAATACTCCTGTAAGCATTTAGCCCACAGTGTCCAAGTCTGAGACGTGAAAGAATAACCTCATCACGCCTTTTACCACGACGAATTTTATGACCAGATTTTAGTGATGGTCTAAGTTTGTACATATGTCGGCCGGTAGTACCTGTATCCCACAACTGTTGCCAACTCCTTGTAACAGATTTCGATAAAACATTTTCATAATCTTTAGGGATTGGTTGAAATTTAAATAAATCAACTTCAGGAAACTGTAACCCGGATTTGGCCAACTTAACTGCAATCTCATTCCCATGTATTCCAACATGTGCTGGGACCCACACAATGTCGCATGCAATGTACTTGATGTTTAAAGATGTATCCAACGTTAATATCTCATGAACAATGTCATCTCTAGATCCATTTGCACCAGCTTCTAGAGCTTTGATTGCTGCCATGGAATATGTAAAGATAACTGCTTCATGGTCACATTCATCTACCCACCTCAAAGCTTGCAAAATGGACAAAAGTTCAGCCGCAAAAAACAGAAAGATAATCAGGGAATCTGAGCACCTTAGCGATCGATAAACTGGGTATCCCAAAAGCCCCAGCAGTACGATCATTGGATGGTTCTTTCGATGCATCAGTGTATATATGTGTGAAATTAGAATACTTTTCTGGCAGAAAGTCTTGAGTTATCACTTTTATTATGTTTTGGTCCATTCTCTTATTCACGATTAAATTGAGTTCAGAATTCAATCCAGGCTTCAGCAGAAGCCACGGAGGTGTGACAGATCAGAAGGATCAACTGGGTTACAGTTGTAAATACCATGTTGATCAGCTAATCTCTAAATATTCAAGCCAAAGGGTAATTTGCCATGAGTCCAGTCACACATGACATATTCAACACAGTCATTAACAATCTCAGTGACTGCATGGTGTTTGTTCTTGGTTTTCATTTTCAAGAAATATTTCAAAGATACCTGTTGTCTTCGAAGGTGAAGGGGCATTTCTGAACACTCAACTTGAAGTGCTGAGGTTGGAGTTGTGCAATAGGCCCCAGTGCATATTCTCAAAGCTTTAGACTGAATTCTATCTAGCTTATTAAGATGACATTTAGCCGCCGACATATACACCTGACAACCATGACCAAAACTGGACAAGATTAGGGCCTTGTACAGCAATAACATAGTTGACTTATCAGCACTCCACATTGTTTTTGAAATACACTTTAATAGATTGATGATCTTGTTACAAGTGTTATACAAATGTGTGATGTGATTAGACCATGTTAATCTTTGATCAAAATACACACCAAGAAATTTGAACACTGACACCATTTCCAGTTTATGGTGTCCAATAGCTAAATTGATATCAAGAGGGATCTTGCGTCTTGTGATCATCATTGCCACTGATTTGATTTTGAAATCTTGAACCCCCATTTTGAACACCATGTACTGACTTTACTTAAGCAGTTTTGTATAGATTCTATGACAAACTGAAAATTACCAAAGCGTCTTCAAAACGATCCGTCATCAGCAAACTGTGCTGCATTTATGTTTAGAGGCAGGTCCTCGAAAATATCATTGATCATAATATTGAATAAAACTGGACTTATTACACTTCCTTGCTGTGTACCATTTTCAATCATATGCACGCCTGACAGTTCTTGACATATGCGAACTTGAATGGTTCTTTCGGACAAAAATGACCATATCCAATTGAACTTGTTGCCTCTAATTCCAAGTTTCCACAACCCGACAATGGGGAACATTCCTGGAGTAGCGCCCCCTTGCCCACTTAAAGCGCTTCGGTAGTTACGGCCCAACAGTAGCTGTCACTCTGATACTGGCCTGCCTATGGGCCAAGCCTAAACATAAATCGACATTAAACCTACTTTTAACTCTGCGGTTCTTATATTACGAATTACAGAATCTGGCAGTTGTACCGACTGACGACTGTTGTCAAAGCACGAAGAACTAGCGTGTCTGGACGAAAAATATTGCTAATAGAACGGTACTGCAGTTATTGTAATATTGCCACATGAAGGATGGTGTTATTGTTGTCACTTGTTATTGTGAGATCAGCTCCCTTTGACACGAGCAGGTCGAAAACATCCTTCTTCCCATACAAAGCTGATGTCATCAATGATGTACATCCAACCTCTCCACGACAATTAATATCAAACAGTGGAAGTAGATCTTCTACAATTGGACTATTTCCACCTTGACATGCCACATAAAGGATGGTGTCATTTGTTATTGTGAGATCAGCTCCCTTTGACACGAGCAGGTCGACAACATCCTTCTTCCCATACAAAGCTGATATCATCACTGTTGTACATCCAACCTCTCCACGACAATTAATGTCAAACAATGGAAGCAGATCTTCTACAATGGCACTATTTCCACCTCCATATGCCAGATGAAGGGCGGTGTTATTGTTGTCATTTTTAATTGTGAAAGGTTGGATATGGCTTTACTAATGATTCCTTCAAAATAAAATGGAAGCTTTCAAACACTGGACATCGAGAATATAGTAAGGCCGACTACTATTTGACCGACGCTGGTATGACAACAGAATTGCTGTAAAGAATTGCCATTGCAGACGGGTAGACCTTTCTGCGTCTGATTTTTTTGGACATTGATCTCGTATAGAGCAAATAAGACAAAGGCTATAAAATGTATCAGAAACATCTAAATATATCCCTAAAAAGAACATCTAATCTACTTCCAAAACAACGAATGGCTGCTGACATTTACTCGTGATGAGCACAATGGAATATTTTATGACCAAAAAAATAATAAATCTCTCTGGAATACATCGAAATGGTCTGTTAGGTTTGTTCTTTGTCAAAATTGCAAGTAGCAAACTTGACAAGTTATATATCTCTATGACACGACTATTGGTGTTCTTATAGAGATGAAGAACTGGTTGTCAGCAACTCACGCTTATGGAAAGAATCGACTAACGGGAACGGCTGGTCTTGTGTATCAAGTCGGAAAACGTTAGTTCACATTAATATTACACTTATGAAATGTACCCTCCAACATACTTGGGGCCTTGGATGCGCGTGAGCATGTGGATATATGTTTTGAGATATTGTGTGCAGCACTTACTTTACATGTATATTGCAGGCTACCCAACCGCCCCAGTGATTATGGCACTGTCAGTGTATCGAGTACATCACACAGATCTCAGCAATGAAATAATAACAATTTAACCATCTTACCATCTCTTGTTCTTTTTTTAAAGTGCCCTGAAGAAAGAATGTGAAGTTTCTTTTTTGACTCAGTATATGTGCACAATACATGCTACACACAAAGAGAATAACCGTGTTACAGTACTACTGAAATATGTACACAATACAGATTACACACAAAGAGAATAACCGTGTTACAGTACTACTGAAATATGTACACAATACAGATTACACACAAAGAGAATAACCGTGTTACAGTACTACTGAAATATGTACACAATACATGTTACATACAAAGAGAATAATCACGTTACAGTACTACTGAAATATGTACACAA